AATAAAAAATTTTTTCCTAAGTACAAGGTCAATGAACTTGAATTTATAAAAAAAATATAAATAATACCTACTTAACCTTCAAAGGTCAAAAATAATAAGAGTTCAAAGTTCAGGATCGATGAACTCGTTTAAAAAAAACACCGTTATTTCAAGATAAGAGAAATTTATATACGAAGTAAAACAATTAATAACGCGCTCAACGAATATGATAAATTTTATTCTAAAAGTGATCAAATTAATATCGAACTTTCCAAATAATATGATTGAAGCCTTTATATAATCATTGTCTGCGCTATTATATATTAAAAAAAAAGAATAAAAAAAAGAGAATATCAAATTTTTTAAAATTAATATGTCAAAAAAGGACGAGTCTACTGTTCCTAAGTTCCTTGGGGACATAGACATCTACATTGACAGAATCACAAGATATTTAAATAAAAATAAAATTAACGACAAAGCATACATATTAACACAAAATCTTCCCGATAATATTTACTTAACATTCTATAAATTCAGACGCCGAATTTAATAATTTTGAGTAAATGTAAATAATTTGTGTGAAGGTTTCGATAGAATAACGCTTATGAAGTGGTACTCAAATTCAACGGCCTAGTAACGACGATGAAGGTGGATACGGGTACAAGATAAGCTAACAAAATAGGCAAAAAAATCTTACATCAAATTATCGGGTTATGACGGGAATACCAAAGTCCTGGACATCGCACCCATTGATGTTAATTATGAAGGCGCTTTAAAATGTTTGGAAGCCTTTATTGTGGAAAGCTCGAAAGGCCCATTGCTTGGCAGAGTTTGGCTCAACGCTTTTAAAGGCATTTTGAAAAAATTTGTAGGAAACATAGACGACGATTTTTACAATCATAAACTTACCAAACTCATAAGTGATTGCAAGATTAAAACGGCTAATAAATTCATCTGCAAAACTACTATTAGACTTTGCTTAAAGGAAGATACCATACCAAAGATAATACCGCCAAGGAGAATACCATACTCTAGAATAGAAATAGTGGGTAAAGAACTATACAGGTTGATACAAGATAAAATAATTGAGCCTGCAAAAGATGAAGGCTGGGCTAGTCCGTTAACCCCAGTCTTTAAGGATGACGGGAGTCTCAGGCTTAGTGCCGACTTTAAAGACACTGTCAATCCGGCGCTCGAAGATTTCAAGTATCCCATACCGATGATAAATGATTTGATTGCGAAATTGTCAAAAGGGAAGAAGTTTAGCAAAATTGATTTCAAGCAAGCATTTCTGCAATTGCCGATAGACAAAAAGTCAAGGGACATACTAACCACATCTACACATAAAGGGTATTTCAGATTTACCAGAGACTTTACTTCGGTCTCAAAACCGCATCTGCAATATTTCAGCAGACTATGGATAATATATTCGGAGACATGAAGGATGTGATATTTTACATTGATGATCCTTTAATAACAGGTGAGAACGATAAGACACACATAAAAAATATAGAAGAAGTTTTTGAAAGAATATCAAAATATTGCCTCACGCCGAATTTTACAAAAAGCATATTTATGCAAACCAACGTTAGGTATCTTGGACACGATATCTATGCAGAGGGTATACACCCTAATCGTGACAAAATTAAAGCTATAATCAATATGCCAGAGCCGAAATCTCATGACGAACTCATAACATTTCTAGGCATGGCCAGTTATTACAGAAAATTTTTAAACAATTTCGCGCATTTAGCCGATCCACTATACAAGATGATAAATATAAAGGAGTGGTCATGGAATCACGAACACAAGAAAAGCTTTGATGAATTAAAACTATTGATATCTCAACCTCCGACATTAGTTTTTTTTAATTCTAAATTGCCTATTGGCATAGCTGCCGATGCCTCTGAGAAGGGATTAGGAGCAGTTCTATTTCACTTTGATACCGATGGAAAAGAGAAACCCATTGCATTTGCATCCAGAGCATTATTAAAAGCAGAGTTTAATTATATTAATATCGAACGTGAGGCATTAGCTATTATCTTTGCCATAAAAAAGTTTCAAGAATATTTGATCGGAAAGAGATTTAAAATTATAACGGATCATAAACCGCTAATATACATCTTTACAAGAGGCCTTAAGGAAGATACTTCCATGTCTATGAGGCTGCAGAAATGGAATATAGCTATAGGAGCATACAATTTTGATATAAAACATAGGGCGGGTAAACACAATATAGTACCTGATTGCCTATCACGACTACCCTTGAAAGACATTGAGGAAACAAACACGAGCTAGAAGAATTGGATAAAAACAATTTATGGGATGTACCGTTGAACTTTGAAAGAATAGCAGCGGGAACCAAGCATGACAAAGAACTATCGTAGGTTATAAACGACGTGAGGAAGGTGATTCAATAAAGAACACGGCTTATAAAAAAAAATGAACTAAGTATCGTAAAAAATTGTCTCTACAAGGCGGAAAAAATAGTGATTACTAATAATATGAGAAAAATTATACTGCAGGATCTACATGCCGCACACTTGGGAGCAGGAAAAACTAAAGCACTAGCAAAGAATTATTTGGCCTAGCATAAATGCAGAAATAGATTTAAAGGTAAAAAACTGTGAATTATGCAATATGTGGTCAGATAACCCTAAAACAATACAACATTTATGGGCTCCAACACTTAAAACACTCGAAAGACTATATATAGATTACGCAGGTCCATTTTTTCAAAGATCTTGGCTAGTAATAGTGGATGCATAGTGTAAATATTATCATCACCTCGATGAAATCTATAACCACCGAGAGAACATTAAAAGAGCTCATGAAAACAATAAGCTTGTTTGGGATACCAGAAACCATCGTTACGGACAACAGCATTAATTTTACCAAAATTATTTAAAAAATTTGTTATGATCACGGTATAAAGCATGTACTAACATCAGCTCACCACCAACAATCAAATGGACAGGTGGAAAGGATGGTTAGGATATTCAAATTGAGTATGAGACGCAATAGGAGGACAAGAACACAGATGCTGATATAGCGCTAGAGAAGTTTTTGTTCAATTACAGAAACACACCTAATACGACTACGGGCATTCCACCCACCAAATTAATGTTCAATTATGAGACTAGAACCAAGTGGGATCTATTGAAGCCTACGTCTATTATTAATGATGATATTAAAACTAAGACCATTATTTCTCCGAATAGGATCATTAACTCAGGGGATAAGGTATGGTTCAAAGTATTTGGCGAAAACAAATGGGATAAAGGTACTATCAAGAGAAAGTATAGCGACCTTTTATACGTAGTCGACGGTAACCGCATCATACGACGGCATCTGGATCAAATAAAAAAAGTTCATATGACACGATGATCACGTTCAGGGAAAATTTTTTCAAGGGAAAGGATGTTGTTACTTCAACACTGAGTCTTATTCGAATATCGCCAAGACCGGTTCGAGCATCAAAAAAACCCGAGAGGTTTAAAAATTTTATCATGTCCATAGATGAGACATGTATAAGATCTCATTACATAAAACACTTGGAAAAATACCTAATAAATAGTACATTCTACAAAAGAATATATTCAAACTCCGAACTAAAATATTTATGTCATTTTATATTATAAAATATATATTCATATTCATTTGTAAATTAGACCATCTACAGTGAATAATAATAAATGTTACATAAAAAGACATATTATTATTTCCATGGAAAAAGCAACTTTTACATGAATTTTAAATTTATGTCATTTTATATTATAAAATATATATTCATATTCTTTTGTAAATTAGACCGCTCTTTTTTTATATAAAAAAATATACAAATCAAATTTTTAAAAAATGCTCCATCTTGCGAAATTTCTTTGTTATTTTATTTTCTTATTACATATTATTATTATTATAAAAATTGTTTAAAATCTATATGATAATTTTCCGATGTCGTCGCTATCAATATTGTTAAAAAGCCCAATTTGGGTCGATTTTTAAAAACGGCCTGATTAAGATTTTAGCCATAATTTGTGTAAGTCTCAAGATTTGGCAAGTAGAAGCTCAAACCTTTCCATAATGAGCAAAATCATTAGGCTTACACAATATTATTTTAGTTATAAACTTAATCGGGCCGTTTTTTAAAATCGACCCATTTTATTATGGGTATACTTTCTTACATTTTAGATTACATCTATTTTAGTTACTGATGATATTCTCACTATTTCTTGAGAGTTGAACCATATTGACTCCTTTGCAGGTTCAATGCAATAACATTTTTAAAATTTTTCTTTTGTTTTTATTTTAGAAAACAGACCCTGTTTTAATCACTCTTGTTGATTGTATAAATTTGATTTATCTGCCATTGCCAAACAAAGAAAGTGGCAGGTTGATTTACACTCTTACATTTTAGATTACATCTCTTTTAGCTTTACAAACATGAATGATATTCCCACGATTGCTAGAGAGTTTATTTCGGTTCCCCTTCCCCCCCCCTTCTTTCCCTTATCTTTTTTCCTTCCATTTTCTTTCTTTTATCTTTTTCTCTTCATTTCCATTTCCATTTGTCCCTTATACTTTTGCTTTGCCATTTTATTTCTCTTTTTTCCTTTTATTTCACTTTTCTTTTTCCATTCCTATCCCTTCCTTTTTTTTTCCTTTCCTCCTTCATTTACAGCTTTCTTTCCCTATTCCTTTTTTCTTTTTTACCTATTCCTTTTTTCGCTTTTTCTTTATTTAATTTTCCTTCTTTTTTCCTTTCCATTTTCTTTACCTTTTTCCTTTGCCTTTTTCTTTTCATTCTCTTTTTCCTTGCCATTTTTTTATCTCCCACTTTCCTTTTTCTTTCTATTTTACTTCTTTTCCCTTTTAATTTCTCTTACCTTCCCCTTTCTTCTCTTTTTCTTTTCCTTTCCCTTCTATTTTCTTTTTTCTCTTTTCATTTTTAGTTTATCTCATTCTTCCCCTTTCTTCTCCTTCTCCGTTTCCTTTCTCTTTTCCTTCCTTTTCCTTTTAATTTATCTCTTATTATTTACCATTTCTTCTCTTCTCTTCTCTTTTCCTTTTTCTTTTTCTTTTTCTTTTTCTTTTTCTTTTTCTTTTTCTTTTTCTTTTTCTTTTTCTTTTTCTTTTTCTTTTTCTTTTTCTTTTTCTTTTTCTTTTTCTTTTTCTTTTTCTTTCTCTTTACCTTTTATTTTTATTTTCATTTTCCCTTCTTTTCTCTTTTCCTTTTTCCTTTTTCCTTTTTCCTTTTTCCTTTTTTTCCTCTTTACCTTTACCTTTTCTTTTTTTTTTTTCTTTTTTTTTTTTCTTTTTTTTTCTTTTTCTTTTTCTTTTTCTTTTTCTTTTTCTTTTTCTTTTTCTTTTTCTTTTTCTTTTCATTTTCATTTTCACTTTTATTTTTCTCTTTTCCTTTGCATATTTCTTTCCCTTTTTCTTCTCTCCCTTTCGTTCCTCTTTTCTTTTCCTTCTCCTTTCGTTTTCTTCTTTTCTTTCCATTTCCCCCTTTCTTTCCCTTTTTTTACCATTTCTTTTCATTATCCTTTTTCTTTTCCCTTCTCTCTGTTTTCCCTTTTCCTCTCTTCCCTTTTAATTTCTTTTCCACATTCCTTTTTCTTTTTCTTTTTCTTTTTCTTTTTCTTTTCATTTTCATTTTCATTTTCATTTTCACTTTTATTTTTCTCTTTTCCTTTGCATATTTCTTTCCCTTTTTCTTCTCTCCCTTTCGTTCCTCTTTTCTTTTCCTTCTCCTTTCGTTTTCTTCTTTTCTTTCCATTTCCCCCTTTCTTTCCCTCTTTTTTTTACCATTTCTTTTCATTATCCTTTTTCTTTTCCCTTCTCTCTGTTTTCCCTTTTCCTCTCTTCCCTTTTAATTTCTTTTCCACATTCCTTTTTCTTTTTCTTTTTCTTTTTCTTTTTTTTTTCTTTTTCTTTTTCTTTTTCTTTTTCTTTTTCTTTTTCTTTTTCTTTTTCCTTTTCTTTTTCTTTTTCTTTTTCTTTCTCTTTCTATTTCTCTTTATTTCTATTTTAATTTCTCCTATTACCTTTCTCTTTCTTCTTATTTTCCTTTATCTTCTTTTTTTCTCTTTTCCTTCCTTACCTTTTTTTTATTTATCTTATTCTTCCTCTTTCTTCTCTTCTTCTTCCCCCTTTTCTTTTCTTTCCCCTTCCCCTTTCCATTTTTAATTTCCTTTCCATATTCCTTTTTCTTTCTCTTTTCCTTCCGTTCCCTTTTAATTTCTTTTATTACCTTCGCCTTTCTTCTCTTTTCCTTTCCCCTTCATTTTTTCTTTCATTTTCCTTTTCCTTTTTCTTTTCCTTACCCTTTTCCATTCTTTCCCTTTGACCACTTCCCTCTTCCCTTTATAATTTCCTTTCCTAATTCCTTTTTATTTCTCTTTTCCTTCCTTTCCCTTTCAATTTCTATTATTACCTTCCCCTCTCTTTTCTTTTTCTCCCTTCTCTTTTCCTTCCTTTCATTTTCAATTTCTCTTATTGCCTTCCTCTTTCTTTTCATTTCCTATCCCTTTCATTACCCTTTTTCTCTTCTTTTTTTCCCCCTTCCTCTCTTCCCTTTAAATTTCTTTTCCATATTTTTTCTTTTCCTTTTACCTTTAGCTTTACATTATCCTTTTACCTTTCTTTTTTCCTTTACATATTACTTTTCCTTTACCTTCACATATTTCCTTCCCTTTTCCTTTCGCTTGTTCATTTTGTTTTTCATTTCGCTTATTCCCCTCTTCATTCCCTTTTTCTTTACCATTCCCTTTTTCTTTACCTTCTCCTTTTTTCCCCTTGCCCTTAAAAATTGTAAATCTCGCTTATATTTTCTAAATATTTTAAGGACAATATTGAAAATATTATTAACTGATGCTAATTAAGTAAACACTCATATTCAAAATAAATACTTATTTCCCTAATTTTTTGCGATTTTTAAAAAACTCAATTTAAATACAAGAATTTACTTCCTTAGCATCTATTAATATTAATTTCAATTTATTTAAAAAAATTTCTTGGATGTGTAGGAAAGATTCTCAATTTTTTTTGTTTTTAGCTATTTTTATTTTAGCGATTTAGAATCGAAATCCTTTTTCTGCCCTTCTTTTCTTTCCATTTTCTATTTTCTTTCCCTTACACCTTTTCTTTCTCTTAAACCTTTTCTTTCTTTTCCACTTTCTACTTTTCCTTTCTCTTTCCCTTACCTTTTCTTTCCCCTTCTCTTTTCCCTTTCCTCTATCTTTTCTGCTTTCTGCTTTCTCATTTCTCATTTCTCATTTCCCCTTTTTTCTTTTTCTTTTACCCTTTTTTTACGTTCCCTTTTTCTTTTTACCTTTCTTTCTCCATATATATAGTACTTTATTTTATTTTTATTACTTAAATAAACTTATATATCTATTCGTAAGGATCCACTTTTTTCAAATTTATCCTTTCGACGGACCTATCATTATTTTCTTTTATTCCTACTACTTATTTTGTTTTACACATTAAAAAAACGATGAGTGTTTCACTAATTTTGACCATATATTTATGATATTTTAATTATTTAAATAAGATTCTATATCTATTTGCAAGGATCCTAAGTTTATTTTGAAGTTTCCCAATTCGTCTCCCTGAAGAATATTTCTTTTTCTATGCTGATTATTTTGTATAATTCACTAAAAAACTATATATGCTTCTTTATTTTATTATAATCAGATCGAGATAACAATACATAGTAGTATATTTTATAATTTAATATAGTTTTATATTCGGAATTAGAGGTGGGCGCCGGCCTATTTTTTATTCACGCCTCTTCCACTCAAGATGGCAATAAAAAAATTTACGCTCTTTCACGCTTACTACTAAAATAATTTTGACCCGACCCGCTCGCTCTCGATGGACAATTTTTTGATCATGCCCAAAAATTCACGGTATTTTTAAATTTTTCAAAACTTTATTGCTATATTCACGCTTTTTTGAATTCATTCTATCATAATTTTTATTTCACTAATTCCATATTTAACACAAAATAATTACAATTTATAAATCAAAATTTTTATTTAGAAAAAAGAAGAATGTCCGTTTTTTTTTCACTTGTGTTCGCCTTTCCTCTAATAAGCGATTGGCTATAAAAAATAACCTTTAACTAGAAAACGAAATGCCGGGACTAACAAAATTTTACTAGCTAATTTTTCTGCTTCCACTTTAAAATATTGTCGTTGCTATTTGTTTTATGAGCGATGAACCTAAGTTTATCCTCACAACTTCCATTAGTAGATGTTGATGCTTCATCAAAATCGTCATGAAATTATCTAAATGTTTGATTTAGAATATAAGGTTTTTTATGTGTCCAGGAAGAATTAGAAAAGTTATAAATGATAATTGGCATTGATTTGCATATCATCTAATTTTATATCATTTCGCATATTTAAGGTTGCTTTATATATATCTTACTTTTGTTCGTCTTTTAAAATCTTAAGACATTTGAAATTCGGATCTATAATTAAGCCTATCTTATGTAGAAGCTGCATAATAAATCTTTTATTTCAAAAGAAATGTTGTCCTGCTTTTTAGGGTTTTGATTATTATTGTATCACCTTTAGAAGGTTGATAAAATTTTACTATTTTGGTTCCATAGATAGATTTCATTTATTGTGGGGCGAGAATACACACTCTATCCGAGCATTCTTTTGATAATAGTAGTATAGTAAATGAATAAAACATATTAAATTAAATTTATATATCACTAAATTCCCATTGCTGATCGAGATTTGAGAGATTTATTATTTTTCATTCAATTGATTTTTTATAAGATGGAAAAATAAATGTTGTTTATAAAATGCGAAAGTCTTTTTGTTTTCAAAAATTACACTCTTTAAAAGGAACTAAATTAAATTAGAAAATATATATTATATTATAAAATTGCAAATTTAAATTCATAAAAAACAATTTTAAAAATTAAAATTTTCGTGATTTATGGGAAATTTATGTTCACCACGCCCCAAAATTTTTTGGGATGGCCCTTCACGCCTAACTATTTGAAATGTATTCATACTCACGCCGTGGCACACCGTGACCCATTATGTTAAGCGTAATTTCAAGGTCAGTGCCCATCTCTATTCGGAATGCTACCTTTTTTTCGTCACTTCTTACATTTTTCTTCTTCATTCCTATTGATCAGCCCCATACCGATATTATATTTTTATTTAAAATCTGATATCTCATGATTTGTGATCCATCGCCATTTGTTACTCACCACTATTTGTAATTAGTGGGAAATTCTGATTCCGCGCCATTTGTTATTTCCAGGTTACACTCCCCCAGGCCGAATGCCAAGCTAGGGCTTAGCCCTAGTATATATATTTAATTTTTTACATTTATTAAAATATAAATTTTTGAAAAATAATTAATTATTTTTATATTAATTTTTGAAAAATGTTATTTTCTTAAGCTTAACAATTTCTTAGGCTTAACTACTTATCTTAAATTTTTCTTTTTAACTTACTTTAGTTTTAAGCAAAATAAACAACAATATAAAAGACGTAATTCTTTATTTTAAAGTTTTATAATAATTTTGAAAAATATAAGAATAATTCTATGTTTAATAATTTGAAATTCAGTTATATCTTGCAATTTTTATTTATATCCGATTTAAATAAAAAAATTTAATCATTACATTAAATATTTAACGTTAAGATCATTATAAACATAGATTTATTAAAATCAAGGTTGTTTCATTGTAAATGGCTGCTAAATGAACGATGTATTTATAGCATTATAAAATTGGGTTTTGAGTTTGTTAATATAAGTCCATGGTCAGATATAATTCATCCAACAGAAGATAAAATAGTTGCCATTATTAATTGTAAACACCATCAAAGCTGAAATAATTCTTTTTTTGGGAGGATTTTTAATTACCCTGAGTTGTTTATACAAAATTTATACATTCTATTTGTGCGCCTTTACACTGATTAAAGAGTAAAAATGTTAGTTATCTTCTAAATTATACTATATGTATTATTGTTGCCCAGCGTCTACATGACAGAATATTCATTGGATGCAACAAATTTCCGCCGTCTTGCGAGGATATTTTCACATTCTTAATGAAACCCTTTTAATTATAATGGTACACCCTTCATAAATTTTAAAGAGGATAACTTAAATTATTTTACCTCTACTACAAACTATTAAATTTATTGTGAATATAAAAAATAATTTTTAGAACACGAATTCAATTAAAAACCTATTCGTTTGCATTGAATGCATTATTATATCTTATTGTTTTGCATGAATATGAGTTTGCTGAGAATATTTAATAATTTTAAATTACATTTATAGCAGAAAGTTTTATTTGGAAAATAATGTCTATGATTGTATGTATTATATAGCTTTGGTCGATTATTAGTAATAACATTTTATTATAATAGGTCTATAATAAAAGTAACTTATTTTTACAGCAATATATTTTGCCATATTTCATCTAAAATTTAATTGATAACACCACAATATATTTATCCTGCCCCCATTAAAGAAGCATACCACCTAAACCCCCCCCCCTCAAAAAAATTGGACCTAAATTGTTCCTATTACCTCCCTTCCGCACATGTAGACGCTGCCTGAGATTGTAAAGGCTAGTGAAGCCCCTGTAGATGTTTATTTTATAACCTTATGTTAAGATGAATTTTGTGATATCTTAAAAGTAATAATATATTAATTTTATGTTATAATTTCCCTTTCACGAAAATATGTTTATACGTATCGAAAGTTGTGTAATTGTTTTGTAGAATTTTATGTAATTACCTTTATTATGTTTTATAAAATAATGGAAATTACAAAATATTACTTTGTTATGATCAGGCCACTATGTGTAACAATTTAAAATAATCTATATTATAATTGGCCTATTGTATGACATCATGTCAATACCTTCATGTTTTAGCACCGGCATGTCATCGTTTCGGCATATTGTCGCTGCTATATGTCATCGCTGGGTCATGGCATCGCTGCGTCATGTCATCATTACCTCATGATATCACTACCATGTTACTCTGTCATCACTACGTCATTTCAAAGAGTCATGTCTACGATACGTCAGTCAGCTCTATGTCATATCATTTACTTCATTGTGACATCATTCATGATACGTTATATTTTGTCAATATTTATTTTCACATTAATTTTTAGATAATAGATCAGCAGAAGGAATGTTCAACTGAATGATATTTTTAAATTGAATTAATTAAAGAAATACTTGTAGTAAGGAGCAGGATTAAAGGTTAGTTAATGAATAAGTATTAACTAAAGATTTGAGAGATAAGGGTTATTAAAGATTATATAAAAATGATTTTTAATAAATTAATTTCCTTTTTTATTAATAAAGTGTCAAATCTGGCATATCAATGTGATAATATATAGATGAATAAAAATTTCAATATATCAGCTGTTGTAACTTCAATTTCCTTGAGTGGACGACTATAATATATATATTTTTTACTAAATTAGATAAAAAAAATATGGAAAAATCAGAAATTACCTTCAAGAATGAAACATGGCAAATATAATAAATTGAACTAACAGGGAAAAGCTTGAAAAAGGCTAGGTTATTAATAGCACTGAGATAGGAAAATGTACTTTTTTTATTAAATTATTTCTCCTAATAATTGTAATCAAGAAAATTATTTCTCCCTAATAATGTAATCAAGTAAAATCATTAGTCTGCCAAAAATATCATTTTTTTAAAGGATTGGTATCATTTATGCAATAAATATATGTTTGTAGCCATTTATTGTAATATTATTCAATAAACCAGAGTTGTTAATCGTTACTTTGCGCTACCGCTATCGCTATTGTTAAAAAAAGTAGCTCGCTATTAGCTACTATTTTTTTAAATAGTAACTTTAGCTACCTTTTATGCTACTTTTTATAAAAAAATTTTAGAAGCAAATTTGTTTTATTTTTTGCTTATAATGTTATTTCATAGTAAATATATAAAAATCAATATATATAAATATTAAAATATAGTTAGTTTTGATTATTAAAAAATTTATGTAATAAAAATAAATATTTATGGTAATTTGTTGCATTTTATAAGTTTTTACCTAGTGTTATGTGTCCAACTATCTGCCGTGGTACATATATATGATATCACTGATAACTCTATTATTAGAGCATCTTACATCACTTTAATCTGCTACTTTATTCATTAGTGTCTGGCGACATAAAATTGTTGTACGAGGGGATATGGTAATCATCATGGTAAATGATGGATTATCAACCAAGGACATTGGCT